TGAAAACCTTCTCTGGGACATTGTTGATGTGTTGTTGGTGTTTGCTGGTGACTGTTGCAAAGCTCTGGGTGAAACGATGTGTTTGTACAGGGGAAATTATTCCAGTTATCACTCTTCCTTAGCAATATTACTGTTACTTGGTTTCATCGAAGTGCAGGTGACTGAGTGGAAGGTGGTGGTAGTTTTTAATGTAGTCAGCATCTCTTCTAGAGGTTTAACCAAATTTTGTTGGTAACTGCCCTGTTACTGTTGCCTATTCACTTCATTCATCCCATCTTTGTTCTGCTTCAGATTGAAACTGGTTTAGACTATTTTAGATTCGAATTTCAAAACACGAGTCCATGATGATTCCCACACTGAAGGTCTGATGATCTGTTACTGTACAGACTTCACTTACCTACCTGAGCTCTGCTGCTGCTGTGAAGGGAGCATAAAAGCAGCTGGTTTATGTGTCAATGAGAGCCCAGGGGAGCAGCGGGGGGGAATCAATGGACACTGAGTTCAGTGCAGATCCTCGGGAGCTGGCTGGGGGCCAGGATGACTGCAGCACTGGCTGGGAGGAATTTGGGCTGGAGAAAAGGGAAGGCCAATGTTTCCAGTCTTCCAGAGGCTCAGCATTCTTAGTGTGTCAGGAAGTGAGGTCAGGCACAGTGCTGTGTGCTGTCATTGTTTGCTGGGAGGCCAGGCATGAAGATGCTCTGTTTTTCTTAGAAGCCTTTGTAGTGTGAGACAGTCAGTGGAAAATACTGCCTCTTTTCTAATATGGTTAACATGATTAACCATATTACATTAGCACAGCACCCAATTAACTCAGGAACACTTCTTAGGGTACACTTTTTGAAAAGTGAACTTTTAAGTATTGTAATTTTGGATCTCTTAAAATAAATGAGGAAGTATTTCTGCTTTTTGCATCCATGTGTCTTGGACAAATAGGCTGTGAAAGCAGCAGCTCAAGCTATTTGTGGTGTAGATTTCTGTTAAATGCAATATCCACCATTTCTTCTTTCATCTTGGGTAAAAGTGCCTTAGAAGGTTTTTTTCTGAATTGGTTAGTCCCAATTATTATTTTTTTTTTATGGTTACATTGTTATTTGGGCCAAATTCCTCTGTCAGCTCAAGGTTGGAGAGTGACCTTTAACTGATGTCTAATAGAAACCACTGTGAAGAAATGAATCAGGCCAGAAGGACCATTGCAAAATGTAACCTTTCAGAAAAGTAATCTGTTTAATTCCATACTGACTCAAAATCCTCTAGTTTCTGGTGACAAAGATACCTCTACAAATTCTGCTATTGATTCATAGATAATGATTCACTAATTATCCATGTGTTTCCTTTGCAACTCTGAAAACTGCAACATTTGCCTAGTCTTTAATGCTTGCAGATGGGGTTTTTTCTTGTTAAAAATGTTGTGTGTTAGCTCATCTTTAATTTTATAATTAATGTAACATCAATACAGCCTGTGAATTCTTGGCTAGTTGGTAGTGATCATAAGCTTAAAACAGACAGCTGCCAAGAGCAGACCCTGAAAGCAGCAGTCTGAGCCTCTGTCACCAAGCATGTGATAGACCAAGCCAGCTTCAGGGGACCCTGGAAGCTTTTTGATGCAGTTCCTCCTGTAGGTAGGTTGGGTGGGTTTACCTGTCCAAGTTAACTTGGTTTGGGGTGAAACTGAATGTTCAGGGAGTGCCCAGCATGAGTGACAGTGTTCCTGGCAAGCTCTGAGACTTGTTAGGGAGGGCTTTGTCTGTGGGAGCTGTGGATGGCTGAGTTTAGGATCCTTGATCTCCCTCTCTGCCCAGCCCTAAAGGAAAAGTGAAGGGCAACTTTTTCTGTCTTCTTCCCTAGAAGAAGCTGTGTGCTTTCCTTCCCCTGCTGCTGCCTTGGGGGGAGTCATGGGGCTGAGCTGGGGGGGATGGCTCAGTAGGCAGCAGGGCTGGATTCCTTGTTCCTGCAAAAGCAGTGGGAGGGTCTGTGTAATGGCTTTTCAAGATAGATCTCTATTTCTTTGTTTTGTTTTTTTCAGGAAATTGTGCTGAGTATGTAATAACTTTTGAGGAATTCTCTTTTTATTTACCTAAATACCACCTACTTCCTTGAATGAAACAGAGACTTTTGGGAGGTGACCCATTGGTATTATGATCAGTGGGAGTTCTTTATTTCCCTTGCAGAGTTTTACCTCTTACACGAGGGAGGGTTTGAGTCCCGTGCTTGTCTACTAGCAGAGCTGGTACCTTTGAGAACAGCACTGTTTTTGTTGCTCTCATCAGTATTTTCAAAGAATGAAGCTCTGCTCTAAAAGCAAAAAACCTTGGTTTTTGCACAGTCCATCAGGATGCAGTGGGATGTTCCTCTGTATCATTGCTGTTCTGCCTCTTGCAGCCATCTGTGCAGTCAAATGGCAGTGTTCTGAGCCAAGTGAAACTGCCCAGGAGTTACTAACATGGTTTCATTTGTGCAAGTACTTCTGTTTCCTCCTAAGACATGAAATTGTATGTGCTATTTTTGGAGATTGTCATTAACTGTATAAAACCATTTGTTTCCTGATACTCCCAAGTTCTTCCTCTGAAAAAGGTGAAGTTGCAGCACTAAGCAAGTAGAAGGGAGGTGTGTGTGTAGGTGTAAATGTAAATACCACCTGTGCCACTAGGCAGTAGATTCAGGAGTCTGAAAACCACGTGGATGTTGGTGCTCTATGATTTGTACCCACTGCCCTGTGCTGCTCACTAACACAGACACAACCTCAGAGAATTCTATGCAGCCAGGGTAGGAGACTGGAATAGAAACTTTGGCCATTTATTTAAACTTGCAGGTGGCATTGGGACTTGTTTCAGAACACGTTTTTCTACAGCTGGTTATTTTGGTTAGTTGAACATTTGAATGCAGATGTTGTTGCTTTTTGGTGAAGGGTTTTCCCCTTTATGTCAAGTTCTAATTTCTCTCCTCTCTGATGTACTTAAATAGGGAGTATACACATATATAAAATACAATATTTGCAGTCTGTCTGTCCATATTGAATTTCTGTTGTGGATCTTGAGATTTAGATCTAACCTCTGAACCTCTAAAAATGGGAGAGGTGGGAGAAACTGCTGCCTTATTTTTAACATCCTGCCTGATAATGTCACCATGCAGGTATTTTTAAGTGGAATGGTTCTATACAATCCAATTAGTTTGTTCCCTGGACAGTGGGAATTCAAAATCTGACAAATAGGATGGAAGATTATTTTAATCAGGAAATAAATAACATGGTAGTTAAGTATTTTTAGGACAAACCTGATACAAATTTAAACTTAAGAGGTTGTGTCTAGCCCTTGCACCTGTGCAGTCATATTTGGCCTCTTAAAATTGTTCCTGGAGCAGCTCTGGGGAGCAGCTGACGTGCAGAATGAGCTGGTTTCTTTGGCAGTCTGGGGTATTTTGTTGTGCTGCCTTTTGTGGCCGTGTGATTGTATCAGTTATTGATACAAATTTAAACTTAAGAGGTTGTGTCTAGCCCTTGCACCTGTGCAGTCATATTTGGCCTCTTAAAATTGTTCCTGGAGCAGCTCTGGGGAGCAGCTGACGTGCAGAATGAGCTGGTTTCTTTGGCAGTCTGGGGTATTTTGTTGTGCTGCCTTTTGTGGCCGTGTGATTGTATCAGTTATTTTGACATGCTTTTGCAAACAAGAAAGCATGTGTTTTTTCTGAATAGATGCTACCAGCCTCTCTACCTTGTAATGGTAACACAGGAGAAATCCTTGTAGTCTCAGCTTCTCTTACAGACCCTTTCTGAATAAAATGAATTAAGGCTAAAGGAATTTCTTTTTTTTCCACCTCCCAAATCCTTTCCATACTGGTTGCACAAGGATTTGGCAGTTGTGTATAGATCGACTGAGTTCATGCACAGGGGAGGAGTGACAATGGGGTTTTTTTGTTTGATTTTGTTGTTTTATTTAATGATTTGAACTGTCCTAACCAGATTTTGTCTTCTGCCTGGGTTTATAGTCAGTAATGGGACTGGAGAAGGAAGTGTCAGCATTTCCTGTATCCTGTTATCTCGTGCTTTTTCTGGATGCTGAATTATCTGTGCACTGAAAATTCACTAATGTTTGGATTATATTTTGCCTTGTTATAATTACAGATGATTCCCTAGAAGCCCAAAACCATGCAGCATATTTCCATAGGCACTTCTCCATGGTGCTTAGACTTTTGTACCAAGTACTCTGCTCTCATGTTCTCCTAAGCTTTGTTTTCACTGGGTCAGATTTCTAGATCAGTGACATGTTGCTACGTGGGAGAAATTGTATGGTTTGGGGTTGTTTTTTTTAATCATCACAAAGTCTGAAATGTACAGTAGTATGTGAATTATCTGGCCTAAAACTTAAGTTCTAGAGGACAAGCAATTTAGAAATTGTAACAACAAATGAAGGACTAATGTGCTGCATAAATATAAGTTCTACTACTGGGTAATGGCATCATGTGTGCACCAGTTTCATCAGGTCAATAGGCATGAAACATTTAAACATATTTTTTGAAGAAATATATGTATTGCTTAAATGCAGTATTTAAATATTAAAAGAAGGGTAATGAATCAGATTAGTTGTTGTTTTCTGTTGTGAAGAACTTGGGTATGTGACATGTGACCCCCTCCAAGCTTTTAAGACTGTGAATTTGCACAAGTTTTTGAATGTGCAATGAAGCTGGAAGTGGAAGTTTTATAATAACTTTGGGAGGGAGTTGTAGAGTGCTGAGGTCTGATATTTTCCTGTTGAGTTTTCAGATGGTTTTGAATTGCTGACATTAAAGCAATGGTGGTGCAAGTGTTGGTTTTGTGAAGAAGGAAAAACTAACCCAAAAGCAGTGTCCTGAAGGCACATCTGGATTTTTCTTCTGAAACACTGCTACCAAGTTTGGCAAACAAAGTAGACAATGACTTGGGGGAGAGGTAAGATATGTTTAACATTGTTACTTTGTGTTTTCTCAGGTGGTGAACTTGAACAGGTGTCAATGAATGGTTTCCAGACATGATGGCCGACCAGCCACCTCCTTTAGAAGCTACACCCATACTGAATGAAGTGCCACTTCTACCTCACATGGTCAATGGGGACAGCATCCAACAGGCAAGTAAACCCCTTGCACTTCCCTACAGTCATGGAACATTGTGGCAGCAGGGAGGCTGACATTGAAACATTCTGTAGTGAACAACAGATGAACAAGTAGTTTTTCCAACCTGTCTGATGGGTGAAAGAGAAGGAAGCTTGAAATAAAGCAACTGTGGTGCTGATCTGCATGGTTAGAAGAGCATGTGGGTCTCAGCACTGATAAGATCTGTGAAACAAGTGCAAATGTAGAGAGGAACACTATTAGTGTAAATGTGAGAAGATTGCAAATGAAAATGAGTGTTTGTTATAAACATGTGCTTTAAAATTAAACTACAAAGTCAAAGAATCAGAGGAAAAATATGATATGTGGATTTAATAAAGCTCTAAGGTTTTGAAAACTCCTCTTAAAACTCATGTGAAATAATTCATAAAGATTAGCAAGTGGCTGCAGTGCTCTAAACCAAGAAGTCAGTTGCAGGGAAATGAGAGGAAAGACCTTGGCTTCCCACTATTAAGTATCTTCATGAATAATTACAGTGCACTGGTGAAACCTGAGTAGGTGTAGTTGAAACTTTAGAATTCTGTTGGACACAACCCTTCAGAAGGGCCTGGTATGATCAGAAATGGACAAAAGTGAAAGCAAAACAATTTGACTGAAGCACAAGTTTGTCTAAGTTGTCAGTAAACTTGAAGTGAATTTACTGTTTGGCAGGAGAAGCTGAGTGCCTTGTAAAACAAACACTGAGATATCTTCCCCTCATTTGGAGATAGTCTTTCAGTACACTCAGAAATATTGTGGACATCATGACATTTCAAGACTGGATCTTAAATTAAGAGGCATCTTCCCCCTGCCCTAGAGCAGCTACAGGTGTGACTGATCCTGATAGGAGGGCAGTTGTTTGTTCATTTCCAATAGCTACCTGGCTGCTGTTGACATGCTGCAGTTGGACAGGGTGCTAGATACTTTCATCTAGGCTCCCTTTCCCACAGAATATTAGGACAGGTGATCTCTTGAGGTCCCTTCTAACCTGGCCTGTTCTAGAATCCTGTGGTAACAAAATGTAGGTTTGAAGGTTTTATGTGTCTGGAGTTTAATGATTTTGTTGAAGCAGGGGACAAAACTACCCATTGCTTTAACCTGATACAACTGAAAGTATCTGACAGTAACTGGAATGGGAATTAAGGGGTTAATCCAGAAGGAAAAGTTGCTTAAAAGTTTCCAGAGCTCTCATATGAAATTATTAGGAAGGGTACCAGTGAAGACCTTGGCAGATTTGAATGTACAGTGGATAAACAGGGTACAGGAAAACAATCATGAATTGTTGAGGGGCTCACAGACCACAAATGCTGGAAATTTTAATTAGATATCCTTTACTGTGTAATTGTTACAGATGGGGAAGGGCTGAGGTATATTTGCTTGTAAAAATAGCCTTTCTTTTTAAAAAAAAGTCTGCTCTGCTTGTTTTCCTCAGACTCTGGAGATAGAAGTACAGTGACTGTGTTTTGAAATAAGTAAAGATCTGGAGTCTCTGAGCTAGTTCTGAAGTTCTAGCATCAGCAACATGAAATTTTAGACACTGAGCAGCTGGGAGGTTATTCAGTAGCTGATGCTTCATGTTACACAAGGAAAGAGATCAAGTGGATCTAGCTGGAGACCATCTCCAGAGCTCTTATTTGTACAGCATGTCTGGTATAGATCAGTGTCTACTGAATGACCCAAAAGAAGGTGATGATCTGAAATTTTTGGAACCTAGTGGAGACTGCAGTCTGGTGAGGGTAAAAAAAACCAACAAAGAGTTGGAGATGCATGGGAAAATGGCATGTGATGAGGAGACTTCAGGCTGCTGTGCCAACATTTCTCATTCTAGCATGTCTGTATATAAACAACCACCTCATGTTGCCTTCCTCCAATTGCTGAACAAATACACTTGCTGCTCTTGTTTGTGGCACTTTTCTCCTGAGAGGAGAGGCTTCTGAGCCAGCCTCCCATTGGAAAGTTTGCTTTTAATTAGGGTCTTAACTTAGAAGCTTTATTAATGCAGATGATTCTTTAATTATTTGGCTGCTGGTGCTGTAGAGGATGGGCTAATTATAGGGTATTGTACAGTGGGTTTGTCTTCAGAAATAAAACTTGTTCTTTTTGGCCAATCACTTCAAACAGAGGGATGCAGCACCCAGCTCATGGGTTTCATTTCACGTGGAGTCTTAAATTGGAAGTGTTCTGGAAGGGCTGAAAGTTCTGAAACAACTTCAGCAACAAAAAGTGGGTGGATGAGGGATAAAGCAAAACACAGAGCAGTGCTTTGAAGTAGCTTTCAGACTGTGTTGATCCCACTAGGTCTGAGATGGATGCAGGGGACAGCTGGAGGTGCAGACATTGCTGTGACTCCCAGCACAAGTCTGTCTCTAACTTGGTTTAGACTGAGTCAGAAACACTCAAGCTTCCTGTAAGTTTTCTTTGGTGGAAAGTAGATGGAACTGCATTTGCTTCATGCATTATAGTGAGTCATGCCTCTAAGACATTGCCCCGTGCATTCCTGAAATTCCAGTCTCTGACCCACTCTACAGCCCTGTGATTACACAACTTTCTTGTGATCCTTTTTGCTGAGTTCAGTTAATAGTTTCCTCAACTGGTTGTGAGAAGTTCAGCTAATTGAAACCTGTTCTGAGGCTCTGAATTTCTCAAAGGGTCCCTTTTACCTGCCCCTGAATTTTCTTGCCCTTGAAGATGAGTCTTGCTGTGAGGTTTAATACCTGCTCGTGGAGTCTTGTCCCCTGCAAGTGTCCCCCCCTGCAGCTGCTGCTGGCAGCAGACCTCATCTTTCCTGCTTCTTTGGGCTCTGGCAAATCCCCAGGTCCCATCTACCTGATCAAACTGGCATTCCATTAATAATATCAACATATTTTAGACAAACTGAACGAAAGAAAATGGTTCTGTTTGAGTTTCCCTGCTAGGTTTGCAAATATATTCTATTTCAAATTTCCTTCCTATGCTAGGAATTTTGCCTGGGCAGCTTTTACATGGCCAAACCTCTCTTTTTACTGAAGAGTTGCACCTTTGCTTGTGTAATATAGTAGAATCATGGCAAAATTCTGGTAGTGAAGTTGTCATGTTAGAACAGGAGGACAACAGCCAGTATTTTTAGAGTGAAGCACATGGTGGGAGTTGGGGTAGGATGAGGTGGTGGTTGGTGTTACCCAGCAGAAGGGAAACAGTGCTGTGAACTGCCTGAGGAGGAATTCTGGCAGATGTCCACATTGATTTGTGTGAGTGTGATCGTGTCCAAACTGCCCTGCAGAACCTCCCTGCTAGTGGTGTTCCTTCAGCTCTAGGATTACACAAACATGGGAGAAAACACAGCCTATCCTTCAGGAGCTGCAGAGCAGAGAGGTGGGAAGCATGACCTGCTTGTCACCTCTGCTGCCCCCCTGCCACCCCCGAGGGACTGCATGCTTCTGTTAAATTCCTATGTTAAATTAATTAAATTGCTTCTGTTAAATGACTCGATGGCCACAGAGGATGTTTTCTCAAAATGCTTTCAATGCAAAAACATGGCTGAGCTTGTGTGTGGATGGTCCTGATGTGGCCAGTTTAGCCCTGAAACTGAAATAATCTTATAGGCAAAGCTTGGAAAGCAAGCTAATTCAGTGCCTCAGTAAAAGAACTAAAACCAGGTTGAAAATGTTGAAAATCAAAACTTTGTTGATTATTTCAAGTGTGTCAAGGGAAGCACTTCTGTTGGTCATCAAGTAAAAATGCTGATTGTGCAAAATTCATGTTTTTATGTCAAAACATCAGGGAATTTCATTCTACCCACCAGCATTTCTCATCTTGCTTTTGACTTCTCTCAGGTTGCCAGAGCTGTGTTGTTTTAATCTAACATGTGGGTATGAAGAAGAGGTGGGGTTTTGCCCCAGTAGTTTCTAAATTATTTTTAAAAAACCAAAAAACACCTCTTTTGTGTGTTGTTTTCTGCAGGTTATTCTTGTGCAGGTAAACCCAGGTGAAACATTTACAATTACAACTGAAGATGGACACATTCAGTGTATTCAAGGTAAATGAAAAACTGAAGTGCTGAATTCAGATATTTTGATGCTGTCAAAATCACAGAATTAGTACCAATGTTTGTTTATGTAATGTCAGTGTGTTCTGCAGTGCAATAAATCAGATTTTTCTTACTTTAAAGCACAAATGAGCCAGCACTGGGGAAGTGTCAAGCAGAATTTGCAGTTAATTTAAAAAAGGCTGGCATCCCAACTGGTTTTGGAATCATCCATCAGTAACTGTCTTCTCAGAATCTTAGCACATGGGTATATGTGGGATTTAGCCCACATTAAGCTAAACAACTTCAGTAAGTTCTGTGTGACCTCAGAGGCAGTGACATGAGCAGTCTGGTGATACTGGGGGGTCCTTTTCTGTGCTCTGCATGTACGTACAGGCTGCTTCTTACCTCCTGGGGACGTGACAGAACTGCACATCCGAGTCAGATCAGCATATCACCTGTAGAAGTCAAGTAGAATTTATCAGTATTTCCATTTTGGGAAGATTTTTCACCATTTCAAATTATATGATGTAAAATGTGTCCATTCTGATTTCATCAGATCCCAGACAAGATTCCTTTTTTTATCAGCTTAATGTGTAAAATCATCTATTCTTTTTTTTAAAAAAAAAACCAAACAGGTTGGCAGACTAGCTGTCCACACTGCTCTGGTGCCAATATTGTTGCCACAGACTTTGAACACTGTCACAAAATAAGAACTAAAATTGATCCATGCTGATTTTTGCACAATTAAATAAGTCCTGTTGGCTGTATCAAGTGTGGTGGATAAATCTCACCTGCACTTGTTGTAGAATCACTGTACAGCCATTCTTGCATTCAGCAATATTATCTAAAATCCTGGGTATATCTGATAATTATGAAATCATACTTAATTTGTATTTTGAATGTGAAGATGAGTTCTCCGTTGGTGACATACATTGCATTATTGTTCTTCAGGGAAACTTGATATGGTCACTTTTTTTATTTTTTACACTCACAGTCCTGATTATTTAAGGTTCTCTCCTAACTGACTTTTTTCAGCCTTGCTTCTAAATATACTTGTCTAAAAGTAGTTTCATAAACACAGAGCTGGATGCAGTTGCTGCCTGGTCAGGCACCAAACTGAGCCATCACCTTTTAAAAAAAAGAAGGTGTCTGGAGTTTGTGAAAGCCTGGATTGTTAAACAGTGGCACCTTTTTGCTCCTCAGGTCCAGCACATGTTCCTATGATGTCACCAAATGGTTCCATGCCACCAATATTTGTGCCTCCAGGTTATGTATCTCAGGTAAACTTTCATTTATTCTTACATTGCAGTATGTTTGTGGGTGTGGTTTATTAACAAGGCTATTGATTGTTTTATCTGGAACAGCTGTTAATAGCATTGATTGTATTTTCCATTGAACTTGCCAACTGTTTCACTTTATTGTAGGTCAGATCACCTCCTGTACACTTTTTTTAATCTACTTGTCAGGATGTTGTTTAATGATAGTACTAGGCACTAAAAGGTTACTACTAGTAGATAGTAGGTGGGTCTGAACTAGCTGAGCTCCATTAACAGGATCCACATCTGGATTTTTCTCCAGTCCTGTTTTCAAGGTGAAAGTAGGTCCTGGGCCACAGGGACCCTCAGGGTTGACTGCAGGCTGCAAGGGGTGAGTGTGGCCAGTGCTCAGCTCTGCTGGGGACACTGGTGGGAACACAGCATCAGAACTGAGTGTGTCTCATGTGTCCTGTGGATAAGGAGACTTGTAGTTCTTACCACGGGCATCATGTGGGTCACATACCAGTGTCATTCTGTCTTTCATCCCTTCGCTGGGGAGGGACTTAACTGGGAAGCTGAGATGGTCTTTTTACGAAGGCAGGCAGTGAGAGGACAAGGGGGATCGGGTTGATACTGGAAGAGGGAGATTTAGATGAGACATTAGGGGGAAATTCTTTGCTGTGAGGGTGGAGAGACCCTGGCCCAGGTTGCCCAGGGAAGCTGTGGCTGCCCCATCCCTGGCAGTGTTGAAGGGCAGGTTGGATGGGGCTTGGAGCAACCTGGGCTGGTGGGAGGTGTCCCTGCCCATGCAGGGGGTTGGATCTAGATGATGTTTAATGTCCCTTCCAACCCAAACTAGTTTGGGATTAGGTCTCTTCTATTTTTTTTCCTGGACTAATTTCTTTATTAAGATTCTTCTATTCTAATACAACTCTACCAAAGTTTTCAATGTCCATTTCTTTACCATCTCTGACCTCCTTAACACTCAGCAAAACACTCGTGTGAGGAGCATTGTCAATGCTGTGACACATGCCTCTGCAATGACCAGGACTCTGGCCTTCTCTTTTCCATTCTCACTGATTTTTCCACTTCTCTGTCGTCTTAAGTTGCAGCTGACCAGCCCTGCCCATGATATTTGAACTGTTATCAGAGATATTTGAAGTTACCAGTTTGATTTACTCATAAATTAATGGAAGTAATTAAAAACAGATGTTAAAATGAGTTAGACCAGGGTTCTCATTTTCTAGTTGGGGATCAAAATTAGGAGTTTTCTGAGTAGGCTTGAAAAACCTTGCAACTATATGTTCTGGAGTTCCTCAGGCAGCTGTCTTTTGGCATACAGCTGCCTCTGCAGTTTGTGCTTCTGCTCTTAGAAGTAGGTACTCTTCTGTTCTGTTCCAAGTGTCTTAAAGATGAAGCTAAACATTGGTTTTCTTCAGTGTTATCATGGTTTAATGTGTCTTCTTGTGACTCTTGCTCTGCTGTTACTTCTTGACCTTGTCTTCTAACACCTGTGTTTTGTGTGAAGTCTTCTCTCAGTTTTGAGATTGAGAGAAGCATGAAAAAGCCTTAACGTATTTTCAATTTACTGGAGGAAAAGCAATCCATTGAGATATTAAGGCATTTCACACTAGCAGAATTAGACCCTGGAAGGAGCCCAGATATTGAAGGGATGCACCCAGAAGTGTGTGCACTCAAACGTGTGCGTGCACTGACTTAGCATCCAGGTTCCTTGTCTGAATTCTCTTAGCCTGTGGCAAACATGACATATTTTGACATGTGAGCAGGGCTGAATCACAGGAGAAGACATCAGAGCTGCCTTGTAGTACTTTGTACTTGCCACAGGCTACAAATGTTTATGCAGAAATGTCCCACAAACCAGGTGACAGGCAGGAGCTTGTACTTAGGATAGTCAGTCAGTCAGGTCATGGATTAGAGCAGCTGTAATTACAAGCAGACTGGGAATGACACCCTGATCAGTCCCCATTGCTTTTTTAAAAAAATATCTTATTCATCAATTTTAGATCAGTTAACACTTCAGTGCATGAGGCTCAGCTTCTGAAAACTGACTGCCTCAAACTCCAGTTCCTTCCAGTGACTTATGCTGGGTTTCCCCCTGGAATTCCAGGGTTTCCCCCTGGAATTCCATATTCCTGACTGTCAGACTGTGGCTGGGAACTTAAGCACAGAGATTCTTTATTAAATGCACAGTATTTACAAGATGGTTTCTGTACTGATGTTTCATCTTTTTATGTTGCCTGACAGGTGGTGGAAGAAAATGGGGTCCGTAAAGTGGTGGTACTGCCACACTCAGCTGAATTCCACCCTTCCATGCATCCTCCTCCTCCTCCCCACGTGCCCCATTACATGCACCATCACCACGCGCTGCTGCCCCACCCGCCTCACCCAGTGTACCCTCCAGTTCCTGGGACAGGAGAGCTGCCACCACAGTTCATCCACCAGCACCCACCACCACACGTCTTTCAAGAGCAAGGTGAGGGCTCAGGGGATGGTTAAGTACATGGGGGGGCCTTTCACTCTGTTCATCTCAATGGAGGCAGTTCTGGTGGTAGGTTTTTCACACATTTTCATGACGTTGGGGCTCATTATCAGCCTCTGTGAAGCTGATGAGTATTTATTTGACCTTATGTCTGGAAGGTGTCATGGAGCCTGGTCTGAAGGCACTCAGCATGTTCAAAGGGTCATTGCATAAAGTTGAAATTCTCTGCTGTTCTCTTTGTCAAGATTTAAAGGGAAAAGTAGTAACCCAGAAGTGCTCTAATACTGTGTCTATTTCTTATGGATCATAGAATTATAGAATGGTGAAGGTGGGAAAGGAACTTAAAGATCATCTAGAACCAGCCCTCTTCATGGGCAGGGACACCTCCCACCAGCCCAGGTTGCTCCAAGCCCCATCCAGCCTGCCCTTCAACAACTGCCAGGGATGGGGCAGCCACAGCTTCCCTGGGCAACCTGGACCAGGCTCTCACCACCCCCACAAGGAAGAATTTCTTCCTCATGTCTAACATAAATCTCCCCTCTTTCAGTTTAAAAACATTATCCCTTGTCCTGTCACTACCCTCTCTGGTGAAAAGCCCCTCCCCAGCTTTGCTGTAGCCCCTTCAGGTACTGGAAGGTGCTCTAAGGTCTCCCTGGAGCCTTCTCTTCTCCAGGCAAGGATAGATGTTGCACTCACTACAGAATAAAGAATAAAGACACTTTATTTAATATAATTTAAAATATATAATATCATTGTGTGGTTTGAGTTGGAAGGGACCCTAAAGATCATCCAGTTCCAGCCCAGGCTGCTCCAAGCCCCATCCAACCTGCCCTTCA